GACCCCATCAAAAAGTGGGCAAAGGACATGAACAGACACTTCTCAAAAGAAGACATTTATGCAGCCAGCAGACACATGAAAAAATGCTCATTATCACTTGCCATCAGAGAAATGCAAATCAAAACCACAATGAGATACCATCTCACACCAGTTAGAATGGCAATCATTAAAAAGCCCCTTTCTTTCTTAGCAAAATCACACCCGAGGAACAGCGCAGAGGTGGTGACTGACTGGGGAAATAGTGATGCCCATTCTAAACTTCGGGCTCAGCTTCTCATTCTTTGGGGGCCTGAAGGTAAATTTTTGCACAAGGGAAGTGAAGAAAATAAACAGCTCAGTCCTGGCCAACTGTTCTCCGAGGCATGCCCGCTTTCCTGTAAGACAAAATCAAAAGATGGGTTATCTTCTCAGGTGGCATTTGTGCCTAGCAGAGATAGATGTCCTCAATCATATCCCAAAAAACTGGAGCAGAGGAAGGGCCTGTAGGCCCCAGGGTGTTATGGCCAGCAGCTTATTTAAGTCTGACAACCACTTGGGTTCATCAATGCATAGAAAGCAGAAGTCCAGGAACACAAAGTCAAATGCTGTCAGGGGTCTGGCATGCGAACTTCCAGGGTGAAGTTGCAGGGTGTAGGACCATAGAAGTGGAAGGCGAGGGCTGACCTAGAAAGGGGGTGTTTAGCCTAAGAGCTTTAAAAAAAGAATTTAACAAACATGACAAAAAAAGACAACAAAAACAACCAAATATGTTAACTTTTTCAATCCCTACAAAAATTGTTGAAAATACAAGGAATTAAATGTCAGAGCAGAGTTCCTAAGGTATAAGTCATCTTTTCCCTGTGCCACTTTTCGTCCTTAATCATAGGGGCCTTCTGGCATGGGTGGCCCTCTATATTGTGACTGCTTTGGCCTTTGTCCTTCAATGGTTCTTTTTATGCACAGTGGCCCTTTCCCTTTGCAGGCCCTTTCCCTTCCCATTTCTTCTAAAGTGTGGTCCAAGGCTGGGTCCTGGTCTCCACAGCTGATACCTAACACTGTCCTGACCTCATCCCACTCCCTGTTATGTGTGGATGAACTGGAGGCAGAAGGACAGAGATTCAATTCAGCTTCTCCTACCTCTTAGCCACATGATTGGGGCAAATTAACCTCTCTAGGCATCCGTGAAAATGTACGTGTGCATATTAGTGAAAATGAATACGTGTTTAAGATGAGAACTTTATATACTGTGTGAGCTACATGCTGAATCCAAATAGGCCAAATAATTTAATAATTTATACCTCAAAACAAAGTATTTTAACATGTCACCTAGGTAATAATAAACAGCTGTACAATTGCTTATTATTAACTGGATCTGGTTAATTCTCAAAAAAACAGAAGAATACAATTTAAAAGATGACCTTTAAAGAAAACCTTTTGGGTGGTAGCATTACTCAAACAGCTTTCTGTATATTACAATTCTTTACTGTGATACTTTCCATAATGTACCTTTTATTCTGAAATAATTTCAAATGTACAAAAAACTTGGAGAGATAAGACAAAAAACCTGGCTCTCCTGAATTGTTTGGGAGTACATCGTCTACATTACCCATGAAATCTTCAGTATGTATTTTCTAAAAAGAAGGACATTCTCCAGCATAATCAAAATGCAATCATCCAAGCCAGGAAATTAACACTGATGAATGACCATCTTCTCCTGAGGTCCCATTCAGGGTTACCAGCTGTCCCAATGTCCTTCATTAGAAAAGGGTCCAGTACAGCTAGTACAGGATCACGGTCTGCATTTAGCTGTCATGTCACCTTAGTTCTTCAGTCTGGAATAAGTCCTCACTCTTTATACAACTTTCATGGCACTGGCCTTTTTAAAGATTACAGACCAGCAGTTGTTTTGTAAATGCCTCTCATGCTGTCTCATGACTGGATTCAGGCTGTGAAGTTTTGCAGTTTTGGTAGGAATATCACCAGAGTGATACTGTGTTCTTCTCTTTTTATCCTAGCAAGTGCTGTACAATTTTGATGTGTGACATTATTGGTAATCACTTGATTAAGGTGGTGTCTGCCAAGTTCTCTTGTAAAATTATTCTTTTTCTCTGTAACTAATAAGTACTTCGAGACTATGTCAACAAACCATTCTCATTAAACTGTGATCCACTCTTTTCCATTGCTATTTCTTGACCATATTATTAATTGCTGATAGCTACCAAATTGCGATTTTTAAAATTCTGTCATTTCTTCCACATTTAATAGTTAGCACTCTACTAAAGGAAATGCTTGCTCCCCTTCCCATTTATTTATTCACTCATTTATTGATATCAGTTGGATTCATGGGATTCCTGTTTTTATTCAAAGGGTTATAATCTGTTACTATCATTACTTGTTCTGATGCTCAAAATATTCCAGATTTGACCATTAGACGCCCATTCAACCTGTCACTTCCTGACTTTTGGCACAACAATCTATTCCAGGTTGATCTTATACTTTCCCTTTCCCAGCCCTGGAATCAGTCATTTTTTCCAAAAGTCCTGGTTTCTTTTAGTGGATAATAATATGTAGAAATCAAGATCTGGGCATTAGGCATGCTCATTGCTCTCCAGATATTGTTGCCTCTCGCTCATATCGGTGGCCAGAGCTAGGGAATATATGTATGTATATAATGTGGGTATATGTCCAAAACTGTGTGTGTATACATTATATATATATATACACACACACACACACCCATATTTAATCTACATTTCTATATTTATTGACTTATCTATTGAAAATCTGAGTTCATTATAGATTATCTGAGATTCCAATCCAACAGCACAAAGTTTGATTTTCTCCCTTTCTTTATTTGCAACTTCCTCTCATTATCCTCAATATATTTATTTATTGGATCAGTATCCCTTGTATATAACTTACCCCTCATCACTGCCACAGCCACCCTGTGCATATTCCACCTCATACCATTTGTGCTCTGAGACCAGCTCTCAGCTTCCACCACCCCCTCCCCTGTGTGAATGTCCTCCTCGCCCCACTTGGGCTACATTACCCCACACAAGTCACTACCGCCATCTCTATTGTGTGCATTTTTAATAGCTTACTTTCTCCCTAAGTAATACATATTCACAGCAATAATTTTAAAAAGCATGACAAAGAAAAGTATAAAGACAAAACCATAAAATGTTTGTAATCCCATAATCTAGACAAAACCATTGTCAACATTTTAACATATTTCCTTATTGTCCTTGTGGAGATTCTTTGTACATCATAACAAATACGATTCCCTGTAGTCAATTCTCTATGCTGCTTTTACCTCTTTGTATTTTCCCATGTAATTTAATATTCTTGGAAATGTATGTATGCCTAAGTTTTGTCCTCTGTCTGTAACAGGTTGTTAAGGAAATAAAGTTAGATCATATATGCAAAAGTGCTTAGTAAAGGCAAACGTGCTTCATGGTTATGTCATTATTATATTATTTGTGCCTGTGTTTCCCACCAGTGTGTGTCTAATTCATCTCTGTTCCCCTCACCTTTATCTCTTTATCCATCACAAATAGTACAATTAGCAACAGGTTAAAATGATACCAAATCAGTTTATTGTAAATATACCCAAGATTCTCCTAAAAGAATCCATATATCATGGCAAACTGGACCTAGCAAGTCAGGAACCAGTATTAAAGAACTGGCTTCATCAGTAACCAACTGTGTGACTATTAGTAAACCATTCATTCTCACAAAGCTAAACTTATCTCATTTGTCAAATGCATGAAATAAATTCTCTCCTAACTATGTTACACGGCTAGGCAAGGATCCCAATGTAATGGCAATGTGAATTTGCTTTTAAAAGCATGAAAATTAGGACTGTTAGGTGTCAAACTTATGCCTGGAAGAAAGGAAACTTGGCTCCCATCCCTGGTGCTTCCCCAAACTATCACTAACCAAACAGGCCAGTTACCTCAGTAGTAAAATGAGAGAATTGACCTACATTTTTGGCAAATTTCTTTCCAGCCCTATCTCCTAGAATCCAAAGATTTTAACTGGAAAGAGAGGAACTGGGTTCATGTATTTCATGAAGTTGCTTCCTGCTTTGATGGATCAAACAGGAAGCATTTAAATGAGGAAAAGTAAATATAAATTTGCGGTAAAACTTTGAAACCTGTCCTGATTATGCACACTTTAGAAGCTGTTACATCTTGTAAAGTGAGGACTTCGGAAGAGTCCTCTAGAAGACTCTTTACCAAGAGTAAAGGAACAGCAAGGAAAAGCAACTGCGTGCCAAGAGTGGGCATGTGATTAAAAAGACAGTTGTGTTGATGTTTTGTTAACCCTTTGGATTCTTCAGATTTCTATCTCCTGATCCATTTAACTGGTCCTCATCCTATCATATCTTTTGTGGGACATCCCAGATACATTGCTTGTCTTCTATGAATTTCATTCTTCTCAGAAAAAGAGATGGTAAGAACAAAGCAGCCTCAATTTCCCCCTCTTCTTGGATCCACATCATTTGTAATGTGATGTCATAGCTCTTCCCATTAAAAATTGTAGTAATATCCCCTCCCCTTAAACTGGGGCTGGCCTTATGACTGGCATTGGCCAACATAATGCAATGGAAGTGATGGTGTGTCAGTTCCCAGTCCGGATCTTAAGAGGCCTGTGTACTTCCATTCTCCCTCTTTTGACCTTATCACCACCATGTGACTAAGCCACGGCAGCTTGCTGGAGGATGAGGGATAATGTGAGAAGGGCCTCACTGTCCCAAATGAAGATATCCTAGATCAGCCATCAGCCTGCTGACCTCTAGTCAAGATCAGAGAGACCAAGGGGGCCGAGCCAAGATTGGCAGAGCCACATATCTGACTTACAGACTTGTGAGCAATAATTCATGCTTACTGTTTTAAGCTGCAGAGTTTTGGACTGTTTGTTATGTAGCAATATGCTAACTGACGCATGTGTTATGAAATTAGTGAATCTTAAAGTAGAGAGGACTTTAAGTAAGCTACATTCTAGTCTTACTAGAGAGAACACTAGACTGGAAGTATAAAAACTTGAGTTTTAGGTCCTGTTCTGCAAATTCCTTGAGCATATGATCTTGGATAAGAAACAACTCTCTCTTATTTTTAGTTATCTTAAATTAAAAAGAGATTCCAATCCATTTCCTGCCTATCAATAACTGGGCTGTTGTAAGGATTAAATTAGACAATTTTCTTGCAAATGAAGTCTCTAAGAGGGTGCAATACAACTCTCAATAGCAAAGCAGCAGTGAGTCACTGCCTATAGTTTTTAAAAAGACTACTGCTAATTCAGATAAGATAATTTTTTAAAAACAGGAGACATGAAGCAACTCTGAGAAAGAGGCTTGTGATACGAAGAAAAGATATCCAGGCATCACTTAGTCCAGAGTATCCTTTTTCCTTTTAAAGCCATGGCCTTCTAATAAGATTCCTCTCATCACTTGCAGATGGCATTAGGTGAAGCATTTTTGTGGAATGTAGAAAAGGTCACATTTCTACCATTTCCACATGGATGTTGTGCAAGAGTCAAAGAATAGGAATAAGTAATTATAAGAATTGGAACATAATAGCTGAAACGTTGTGCTATAATACAAAATTTGAAACTATCGTAGACAGGAAGACTGGAAGATATTCCTACATCTTATATCAGCTTTCACATTCAAAGTGAATTGTCCAATGTGAGCGGAGGTGACAGAATCAGATGAAGAAAGACAAAGACAGCACTGATCATCAGAATCAGCCCAGAGACATCTAAGGCAAGACAGCACAAGACAGCACAGTGGGAGAGCATGGGCTTCGGAGTCATACCAACATGGGTCATTCTGTTTCTGTCCTTTCTGAGCCTTAGGGTCATCCTCAGCAAAATGATGTTGTCTCAGAACATCAATACGTATTTTAAATTAACAATAAGAAAACTATCATGCATTCCACAGGGTAAGTCTGTGTAGCATTTAGTTATTTTCAGTAGAGAGTGTTAGGAAGAACGCACATTTTAGTTTTTGATAAATGTGGTCGACACTGATCCTAGCTCTGCCACATGAGTTTTATGACTTCAGTTTCTATCCTGGGTTAAGCTTCAGCTTCCTCATCACTAAAAGTGGCTACAGTAACATAAACTTTATATGATTACCCTAGAACATATGCACCATGGGAACAGTTTTGTTTTGTTTTGTTTTGTTTTCTGTTTCACTCATTCATTGTCATATCACCAGGGTTGAATGCTTGACACATAATAGATACTCAATAAATACTGATGGAACTAAAGAATTGTGAAATTATTGGAAATAAACTATGCAACATATCTAACTCAAAACCTGGAACATACTAAGAATTTTTGTTATTGATTTTTCAATGTCATGAGTTAAAAATATATTTTTGGACCTGGTTATCTTAAAAACTGGAGAAAAAAGAGAGCTTTCACTGCCTCTTCTTTCTTAATTTTCAATTTACACATTATATAAATGTATTAATTAGATTTAAAAAATGAATTAAAATTACAAAGGCCAAAGAACCTTTTCGAGGGTGTACTTAGAGAGTAGAATCCAATCTTGCGAAGCCACTGACTGATGCCCATGTGGCAAATAAGTTTCTCCTTCCCCTTGTCCCTCTCTATCTCCTTATTATAGATCAGCTCTATTTCTCTGTGAGTGGGCAGTCCTTAAAAAGAACTGAGGACAGTTTAAAATTTAGTAAAGATGGCAGTACTCCACCGGGTGCAGTGGCTCATGCCTGTAATCCCAACACTTTGGGAGGCCGAGGTGGGTGGATCACCTGAGGTCAGGACTTTGAGACCAGCCTGGCCAACATGGTGAAACCTTGTCTCTACTAAAAATACAAAAAATTAGCCTGGCATGGTGGCGCATGCCTGTAATCCCAGCTACTTGGGAGGCTGAGGCAGGAGAATCACTTGAACATGAGAGACAGAGTTGTAGTGAGCTGAGATCACGCCATCGCATTCCAGCCTGGAGCAACAAGAGTGAAACTACGTCTCAAAAAAACAAAAAACAAAAAGCAAACAAACAAAAAGCAGCACCCAATCCTCTTTGTGAGCTGGAAGTGGAGTCTGGGTCTCTGTCCCCAGTGTTCCAGAGGACAGAACACAGGAAAGCTGAAATCTCCAGCAGAGGCAATGGAGGGCTTAGGAAGTAAGGGCAGGCTGAAGCAACGCCCAGCCCTGGAAATCCCAGGGCTGACCCCTACAGCAAGATGGAGTGATTGCACTGGCCAGGCTGTCTGGAGATGTTCCAATGAAAGCAAGGGAATACAGGGAGAGAGCAGGGGAGTGTTGGGAGAGGGGCCCTGGACTCCCATATGCCTGTTTATTACAACTTACCTATTGAGAAGGGAAGAAAGGCTTCTCTTTTCTTAAACTGTCCATTCTCTAGAAAATGCTCTGGATTGAACGTGTCAGGGGTGGCCCACTCTGTGGGGTCCCTGTGCAGCGCCGTCAAATTGGTCAGGATCATGGTCCCCTAGAGAAAGCAGCAGAGACTCAGGCAAGGCTTGACCCATGAAAAAGCACACCAATGCAGAAGGTGGTCATATTCGGGCTTCCATGCCGGAGGCTGAACATACTCTGAACTGCCCCACCCTCCCCAACTGCAGTACACAGTCTCCTGTGTCCCCCAACCCAGGACCCTCCTCTTTGTCTGGGACAGCCTACAAATTAGATTGGATTTCCCTGCTGGGAATTTTAACAGGGATGTTTGGCTACTCTTGAGTGCAGGATGGATCTTCCTTACAGGGACAGGTCAGTTTAGGTAGGTCTCGGAGGGAGGGGACATGAATACACTGATGAGAGAATAATCCAACAGTCAGTCTGCAGTGTACCAAAACCAACCCAGCTGCTCAGTGAAGCTATACCGATGGCGGCTCTACAAAGGTAAAAGACATCTCATTCATCTTGGCTTCGCCATTCTCTTTCCTCCAATGTCTAGTACACGGTACCCCACTCCCCACAGTAGGTTTAGTAATAGAATCAGGCAGACCCATGAAAGGAGCCCCTGTCCACCCAGGTATATATTAAGAAACACAGGAGTTCCCAGAGGGAGCTTTTCCTTTACTCTGCCTTTATCCAACCCATCAATGAGATTGGTCAATGTTACTTTCACCTCCATTCCATGTCCACCATGCCCACTTAGTCCAGACTTCTTCCCGGCTTGCCTGGACCCCTGTTACAGTTTCCTGACTATACCCCAAATCCTGTCGCCCCTTTCAATCTGCTTCAGACTCTGGAAGAGAGTGAGCTTCCAGCATGATTTGGTCATGTCACTCCCCACCCCCACAGCCCCCACTGCTCATATCTAGGACTTGACACACTTCAGTAGTTACCCATTGCTCTCAGGGCAAAGACTCATCACCTGGTCCCAGTCTGGGCCACTCTCCGCCTCTGCCTGCACTCCCACTACAGGGCTCTTCTTTCAGTTTCTCAAACATGCCATGTTCCTACTTAGTTCAATACCCTTTTTAAATGCTACTTGCCTTGCCAGGAATGTTCTTCTTCCCCACTTTGTCATCAAGCTAACTCTTAATGATCCATTAATCCTCAAACATCACTTGCTTTTGGAAGCCTTCCCTGACCACTCCTGCTAGTCAGGGACCACAGTGAGTTTTTTCCTTTGGGCAGTTATCATGTTTCTAAATATGTACTTGCACGATTAATTTTCTCAGGGTTGTTTTGCCAGACCTGAGCATTTCAGGTATGTAGTGTTTGTTGAATTCATTCAAATATTAACATATTAATATAATATTAATTCAAGGAATTTAAGTCATTAATTTTCAATATTAGTATAACTATTTCTTTCTTTCTTTTTTTCTTTTTTCTTTTTTTTTTGAGACGGAGTCTAGCTCTGTCGCCCAGGCTGGAGTGCAGTGGCGCAATCTCAGCTCACTCACTGCAAGCTCCATCTCCCCGGTTCAGGCCATTCTCTGCCTCAGCCTCCTGAGTAGCTGGGACTACAGGCATCACCACCACACCCAGCTAATTTTTTTGTATTTTTAGTAGAGATGGGGTTTCACTGTGTTAGCCAGGATAGTTTCGGTCTCCTATCTCGTGATCCGCCTGCCTCGGCCTCCCAAAGTGCTGAGATTACAGGCATGAGCCACTGTGCCCAGCCTTTTTTTTTTTTTTGAGACAGAATCTCACTCTGTCACCGAGGCTGGAGTACAGTGGCACTGTGTCGGCTCACTGCAACCTCCGTCTCCTGGGTTCAAGCAATTCTCCTGCCTCAGCCTCCCAAGTAGCTGGGATTACAAGCACCCACCACCATACCTGGCTAGTTTTTATATGTTTAGTAGAGATGGGTTTCACCATGTTGGCCAGGCTGGTCTTGCTCCTGACCTCAGGTGATTCACCCGCCTCAGCCTCCCAAAGTGCTGGGATTATAGGCGTGAGCCACCACGCCCAGCCAATAACTGCTATTTTAAGCACTTTCTGTACTAAGTTAAATACCCTACATGCATGATCTCATTTTACCTCCACGTGGATCTTGTAAAGTAGGTTTAAATGCATTTTTTCAGATGAAGAAATTGAAGCTATGAGAGGTAAAATAATGGGCCCAGAATCAGACAGTGGGAAGAGGCAGAGCCATGATTTGAACTAGGTCTATTTGATGTCAAAGACATAGCTTGTAGACTGTGTAACACACGGTTATTTCAATTTGTCAGTTCCCAAGATGATTATTAAAGCTGACAAAAATCAGTGGCAGAAGTCTGCTGAGCCGAGCTGGTTTCCTTGAGTTAAATAAATTGCTAGAAAAATGCAAACAGCACCTGGGGAATTTAGACCTCAGCCTTTATCCACTAGATGGCCAATGAGTAAGGAAATAGTAAATGTAACAGCTGCTTTTCCTGGCTCTGCAGGGATAGTAACCAAGCAATGTCCAATGGGTAAGCTCTTCTGATTCTACTTCTTGAGATTTTCCCCAGGTATGACACACTCAGAGGTACTTAGACAAACTGGAATAGATCCACAGAGGCTGACCAAAGTGGTTAGAAAGCAAGGAAAGGAACTGAAAACATGCAATGTGGGGAGAGGGCACTAGAGGGCACATGATAGCTGTCTGCAGAGATCCTAAGCATGGCGGGTGGAGTGACATCAGAATTCTGTTTGTTGCAGAAGCAGAAAATGAAATACTGCATGTTCTTACTTATAAGGGTAGCTAAACATTGGATAGACATGGACATAAAGATAGGAACAATAGACACTGGAGACTACTGGAGGAGAGATGGGGGCAAGGGTTGAAAAACTACCAACTGGATACTATGCCAGTCACCTGGGTAATGGTTCAATCATACTCCAAACTTCAGCATCATGCAATGTACCCTTGTAACAAACCTACACATATACTGCCTGAATCTAATACAAAAGTTGAAAGAAAAAGAAAGAAAGAGTTCCACTTGTGAGTACAGGGAATCTAACCGAGAGCAAATGAAAAAATAGCAGGGAGACGCTTTTAAAGTGGACGCAAAGCACCTCCTATGAAGGGAGAATGGTGTCATACAAAAAAACAAAACAAATCTGCTTCCAGATCCCAACTCTTCATAGTTGAGAGATCTCATGCAAACCTAATTTTTCTGAGCCTCTACTTCTCAATCCATAACATGGAAATAACAAGCTTCTTTTGAATAAACTTAATCTGAGAATTGAGTAAGACATTTTGAAAGAGGCCACATTGTTCACAACACATAATCATTGCTTAATACATGTTCGCTCCTTTCTTTCCCTTTCCAGTAATGAATATTGCACATGCTTAGATTGGCTTCCTTATAAGATAATAAATTATACATCTGCTGGATGTGGTGGCTCACACGTGTAATCCCAGCACTTTAGGAGGCCGAGGCGGGTGGATCATGATGTCAAGAGATCGAGACCATCCTAACCAACCAACATGGTGAAACCCCATCTCTACTAAAAATACAAAAATTTGCTGGACATAGTGGTGCATGCCTGTAGTCCCAGCTACTTGGGAGCAACAGAGCGAGACTCTGTGTCAAATAAATTAATTAATTAATCAATTAATCAATTAATAATACATCACAGGACTATAAGAAAAAACTGGAAAAATGCCTGTGGGGATATTATGTTAAAAACACCAGCATTAAATGTGGTGTTGTCCCAGGTGGTCTTAAATGTCCTTTCACATTTCAGCATTCTAGAACCCCAGGATCATGAAGCAGAATTTCCCAAAATTTGGCAGATCCCTAGTCTGGTGAGATGTTCTACCAAAACAAAGAAAACTGTTCTGTGATAAAGTCTGACCTAGAACTGCTGCCTGTCGCGTGCCCACAAACTCACAATGCACATTAGCATGGTAAAAACACTGAGAAGCACCACAGGAAAGAAACGCCAGTCTTTATCTAAACATATTTAACGTAGGGATCCTTCCTGCTCCCCTCCCCACAATACCTATTTATATCTAGCTGACACATGGAGAAAATCTAGTATCATATCAGGTATAAGATATCTTTCTCTTCCATTTAAATGACTCCTCAGGACAAGAATAAATGTCACTTCTCAAGTTCAGGTTTTCACCCCATCTAAAAGATGGGCTTGAAGATGTGGGGCTAAGCATGCTTAGTTACCTTGGGCAGGTGGTACCCAGCCAAAGTAGTATCAACTGTCGCTTCCCTGGGAACATTCAGGGGGATGATGTTGCCCATTCTCTGCACCTCATGGATGACGGCATTGGTGTAGGGCATGGACTCCCGGGCGGCTGTGCTCGGCTGCTGCCCCTGGCCGATCACTCTGTCAATCTCAGCTTGTACTTTTTCTGGTAAAGAGGGAAGGGTTCTATTATTTTTTAAGCTTTTATGCTTTATTATAAAGAGGTATGAGTGGTCTCCAAGATCTCATCTGTTGTATTTAAATTACTGACCAGGTTGCAAGAAATAAAACGGTTTGTAACTTTTTGAAAGGCTTATTCAGAAAACTACCAACTCTGTAAATCTCCTTGAGCCTGGTTAGGCTATGGGATGGAATGACCAGGATTAACATGGCTAAACTCCATCATATCAGACCCCAGCAGCCTTGGTGTCTGGTGAAGACCCACTTTCTGGTATACAAATGGCACTTTCTCACTGTGTCCTTACATAGTAGAAGGAGTGAGGCAGCTCTCTGGAGTCTCTTTCATAACAGTATTACTCCCATCCCTGAAGGCTAATCACCTCCTAAAGGCCCCACCTCCTAATATCATCACACTGGGAATGAGCTTTCAACATATACACTAGGGCTGGGGTGGGCCCAAATATTCAACCCTTAGCAGATCTACAGACTCTAATTTCTCAGGTAGACACGTAAGAGTGGAAAGCGGGCCCTGAGGTAAGACCCATCGGATTGCAAACTTGCTCTACAACATTGATGTCTCAAGTTACTTACACTCTTTAAATCTCAGTTTCCTTATTTGATGAAGGAGGATAAATCTACCTTCATCTTAAGGATGTTTTGAGATTTACATGAACTGATGTTTTGAGATTTGTGTGACCATATAGGACTGCTACCAGTTTCTTTCACTGGTTGAGTGCTCACCTAGCCAGTGAGAGAAACTGCAGCAGTCTTACCTCTTTTCTCTTTTTCTAGAGTAATAGAGATTTTAGCTGTTGACCTGACTGCCCAGCTAAAGAATATATTTTCCAGGTCCTACTGTAACTGAGTGTGACCATATGACTAAATTCTGACTAATAGAATGTAAGCAGAAGTGATGTTTAATCCTTGGAACAAGTTCTTAAAGAAAGGATATGCGCTTCCTTCCCCCTTTCGCTTCCTACTGGAGGAAAGCCTATCGGTGAGCTGTCTTAGTGCTAACAAGAGCATCATTCTAATCACAACAGAGCAACAAGTTGGAAGGAGTTGGGAACCCTAATGACTTTGCGAAGCCTAGTTTGGATTTTTTTTTTTTTTTTTTTTACCTGAAAGTGAAATAAATTATAATTTTTGAAAAACATTTTATTTGTGGGTAAAATACCCACAACATCAAATTTACTATGTTAGCATTTTTAAATGAACAGTTCAGTAGTATTCAATATATTCACACTGTTGGGCAATCACTCTCCAGAACTTTTTCATCTTGCAGAACTAAAGCTCTATATCTCCTCCCTCAGCCTCTGGCCACCACCATTCTACTTTGTGTCTCTAGGCATTTCACTATTCTTGATAACTCATGTAAGTGGAATCATACAGTGCTTGTGTGTTTGTTACTAGCCTTTTTAACTGAGCATGACCCTGGATGCATATACCTAAATACACACATATAAAGCATACATTATGCAGATACAGATGAAAAAATAAAGTTCTGTAAACAAACTTACCTTAGTACATGGGAAGCACTCTGATCTTTTCTATTTTTATCTTAAGAAAAAAAGTTGGTCTTGATCCACTAAATTGATTTTATGACTCATTAATAAATGGTTACCCACAATTCGAAAAACTGTATTGTTAAGCATTCCCATCCCCCATATGTTCAAACTGTTCTGGAAGCTGGAGGAAGAAAAATGATGTGAACATCATTCTTGAGTGGACCATAGTCTGTGGGGAAGCTATAGAAATAATACATGATAAGCCTAGTAACAAAGGCACATTACATCATCTCTGGAGGGAGAAAATGTTAATAATTTCCTAGGGGAGTGCAGAAACATCTTAGAGAGGTAGTATTTGAACAGATTCTTCAAGAAGAGCTAGGAGTTTACTATGTAGGAAAACTGGGCAAGTAGAGGGAAAAGCATATATCATGACATAGAGCCATAAATACAGACTACAAAGAAAATGACGTGTCACTTAGTGAGGCCACCATGGAGGGTAGGTGGGGCCAAGGCTAGACAGGCAGAAGGGGCATATCGGAGGGTGACATATACCAGACTAAAGTGTTTGAACATTATTCAGGGGGAAATGGGAAGGCATCACTTAAAAGAAAGGAAAGACACAACTAGACTTTCACATCAGAAAGTAACTGTTTCCTGGAATTATCTCAATGTCGATTGACTTCATGGATTTCCCTCTTGCCTCTGAGCTTCTTGAGGACAGGGATTCTCTCTCACATTTGTATTACCTGGGCCCATCACAGTTCAGACAGAATATGTGAAGAATGTGCAGTTTCCAAGACCTCATCACTCATGACTGTTCTGCCTCTCTTTTCATCCTACAATGAGATCTTCTGGCTCTGACTTCAGGCAGCACGTCCCAGGAGGCACTATTCTGTCCTGGTCCAGGCTCACTCACTGACATGCTCACCTTGGATTTCTGGGTAGAGGGCCATATAAAGCAGAGCCCATCGCAGAGTCGTAGAAGTTGTCTCGGTTCCAGCGAAGAAGAGGTCCAGAGTGCTGCAGATGAGGTTTTCTTCATGGAAACTTGAAGTAGAATTGCCTGTGTGCTAGAAAAGACAATGTTTAATGTTATTTATTGGTTTATTCAGAGGATTCCTGATTGCTGTAACACACAGGGGCTTCATCCTAGGAGGAAATTTGGAAGAAAAGGTCCCCAAAAGAAACAGTTTTCCCTTTGGCCTCTTTAGAAGGCAGACTTTTATTACAGCAATATCGTTAGCACTGTCCTGCCCCAAGTGCTGGACACCTTTGGATGGATGAAAATCAAGACAATTGTTTTCTTTTGCCTGTAATTTGGGGGAAGCTTTTAGTACAGTGAAAGGAGAATGGGATGTGAATAAGACAGATTTGGCTTCCAATATTAACCACTTCAATTAGCAGCTGTATGACCTAGGGCAAGTTACTTAACCTCTCTGTTCTTCAGTTTCCCATTTTATACACTGGAAATAGGAGTGCACACCCCTTAAGAGGGCATTATGATTTACTTGAATGCAAGGACGCATAGCAAATACTTGACAAATGTTTGTACTGATAACAGAAAAGACAAATGGAAGTCCTCTTGTGAACAACAATTCTTATATCTTCTCATTCATCTTTTCCTTTCCAATTTGAACCTCACTGATTCTAACAAGCATTCCTCATGATACTGTCATCTTTAACATCAGCTTCTGGAAGCTTCAATTTGTCCAATGTTGCTCTTGATGTTAATGGTCCCTTCCTTACCTGCACAACATATAGCGAATCTCCTCCTCTGAGGTGAAAACAATACTTCTATAAATGTCATGCCAATAAGGTTAAATAAGAGGGAAAGAAATCCACCATTCTTTCCAATCCAGAAGGAGGATTGGATGTATAAAGATGACAGTATTGACACAGAGATACATGTTAACCAGAGGGGTAACTGTGTTCAAGGTCATGCATCCAATTTGGTTTCCTCTTTACTTCTGGCCTGTAATGTTGGAAAGTGAAAGGTACAAGACAGAAGGAAGGGCAAAAGCCCAACTCAGGCCTTAATAAAGTTGGCCTTTAAACTCTGGCATCCAACTCAGCTTTACTTGTATTCTCTATGGGGGCTGAGAAAAGGGTATAGGTTTTTGGGTCCAGGCCCAACTAATGATAGAACAGAGCTTTGAGGATTAACTGCTATGTTCCCCCTTTGTGTATACCTCCAAATAACAGTAGAGGGTAGGGGATGGGGGATGAAAGGGCAGTATTTGGGCATTCACAGGACCTCAAACCAAATGCCATTAACCCCCATCTTTATCTCTAATTGCATCATCAATACTGAGTTAATGTTACTCTACATTTTCTGAAATATTGCCCTTATTTTTACTCCTGTAGCAGGCTGAATAATGACCCACAAAGATGCCCATCCACATCCTAATGTCTGGAATCTAGGGATGTTACTTCATAGGGAAAAAGGAACTTTGCAGATGTGGTTAAGGATTTTGAGATGGGCAGATTATCCTGGAACATCCCAGTGGGCCCAGTGTTATCATAATAGTCTTTATTAGAGGGAAATAAGAGGGACAAAGTCAGAGAAAGGATGCCAGGATGGAAGCAGATACCAGAGAGAAGAGAAGATGCTGTGCTTCTGGCTTTGAAGATGAAGGAGGTGGCCCCAAGCCAAGGGATATAGGCAGCTCCTAGAAGCTGGGAAAGTAATAGAAACAGATTCTCCTCCAGCACCTCCAAAGAGAGCCAGCCTAGCCAAAACCTTACCTGTAACTCAGTGAAGCTGATTTCACACTTCTGACATCTAGAACTGTGAGAGAATGAATCTGTGCTATTTTAGGCACCAAGTTTGTGATCATTTGTTATAGCAGCAGCTGGAAACTAATACACCCCTATTTGTGCTGTAAGAAAAAAATGCAAAATGACTTTGGTTTTCTCACCTTTGACATTTCTTTGAGGTAAGCATCAATAAAGTCTCTTGTTTCTGCAGGATTCCAATCCTTCCTGTGTTTTTCAATCATATGAGAAACAAACACTTTCAGTTTTTCCCAGTTGCTGAAAAGAGTTTGGTGGGGTCCAGGCAGGAATTTCATTAGCCATGGAAAGATATTGTAGAGCTAATTGAGAAAAACAAAACAATCATGCAGATAACATTGTGCCTTTTTTTCACTTTTTAAGACAACAGAAACCATCTTCTCTTTCTATCGCTTTTATTTGCTCACACTTAAACCTTGGTTATCCTTGACCCCTCTTTTCTCTCTCACCCCTCTAGTGAAACAGTTCAGCTCTCTGTCAAAAATATATCCAGCCTCAGACCACTTGTCACCACTCCAACTGCTTGCCACCAAAAAAAAATACTTATGAGACATCTGGGGACATCTGAGCACTGGCTGAGTGTTTGAAGGCATTAAATAACTATTGTTCATATTTTTCAGGCACAATGGTATTTTATTTTTGTTAAAATGGATCTTTTTATAAATATATGCTGAAATATTTATGTATCAAATAATTGAGGTCTATAATTTGCTCCAAAATAATTCAGGGACAGTGGGAATGTGGTAGTAGGGCACAGATGCAGACACAGTGAGAATGGCCATGTGCTGATAATTGTTAGAGCTCATTGACGAGTACACAGTGATTCATGATTGTATTCTTTTATGTACATTTGTAATTTTCAAAAATAGAGTCATTTTTTAAACAAAGGAAATTTTTAAAAATTTTGATAATGGCACACTGCATAATTCAAGGGCACTCTTTCTATTGAGAACACCAAGAAAAGATACATGTATATGCATTTAAACACACATATATACAAACCAAGATAGTGAGGAAGTTTCCAGGATAAGGCTTAGGGGAAGAAGAAAGCCCAGGGTATGACCTTAATACTTGGGGTCATCTTCTCCCCCCGCCCCCTAGCTCCCAGAAATGTCTTCCAAATTCAGAAAAGTGACTGAGGAACCAAGAAACTGAGCAGAGTTTTTGACAAAGACTCAAAGGCTTATGTGGACAAAAATTGGGGTGCAGGGCCCACCAAGGGAGGAATGAGTTTGAACCCCAAACAGCTACATTCTATGGAATTAGAAGATTGATGATATTAAGTGCTGATGGGCAGACAAATAATGCAATGAGCTTGGCAATCTTCAAACATCTTTTATCTCCAGATACATATATAAAAAATGAGTGGATGTAACCACAAGAACACTTGTACAAGAATGTTCATGGCAAGTTTATTCATAGCATCCAAAACTTGGAAACAACTTAAATGTCCGTCAGTACAGAACAGATTGACAAAAAGTGGCACATTCATACAATGAAATACTAATCTGCATTAAAAAAGAGCAACCAACACAGATGAATCTCAAAGCAACTTGCTGAGGAAGAAAGTGGATACAGAAGAGAACCTCTGAGGGAGGAGGGAAATGGACAAGTTGGGGAAGGACACAGCAAGGAGAGACTCAAGGGCAACGGCAATATTGTTGTTCTTTTTAAAAAGAACAATATAGGTGGATAGGCATATGTCATATAACGTGTTGCACCTTACATGCATGTTAGAAATGGTTTTTGCATATAAATATTTCATATTATTTAAAAAACTAAAGTCAACAGACTGATTTCAAATAAGTTTGTGTTGAAATCAGTTTTGAAAGGTTATATTTTAGCTTCAAAAACCCACAAAAAACTAAAAGGAAAAACCCATATGTGTCTGACATTGTCCCCAATTTGCTGAACCAAGATGAGGCTTACCTGGCACGTTTTTGAAGCCTCCAAGTATGTGACTTCATCCAATAACTTCAGCAGCTCCTGAAACTGACTATCCTGGTACTCAAAGCGTTCTCCAAAGGTGATGGAGCAAATGATATTGGAAACTGCATTGTTTATCTTGAAGTGAGGGTCAAAAGGCTGTCCTGAAGGTGGAGGAAGGGCAAGATGGATCCTTCTGATGGATTTGTCTCCATTTCCTACTAAGAGTCTACTCTATATGGCATAAGACATACCTAGTGCAGAACCACATATGCGGCTCTGGCCACATGACCTTACACTGCGTCTGACATACAACTAGTATTCAGTCAACTCCAGGGAAGTCAAACTGTGGACCAGGGCTTAAATTCAGTAATGTGTTTAGTGCCCATCTTTGCGTGTTTACTTCTAAAACTCTTTGAGGATGGAGTCGTGGTTAAGTTGTTCACTGTTCTATCTTCCACTCCTAGCACACTGCTGGGCATAGAACAAGTACTTACTCACTTAGTAAGTATCTGTCCAATGAACAAATGGGCCACAGTCTCTCACATTTGTCGTATGGAATGCTCACCGTTCTCCTCTTTTATTGCTTCAGTGAGGTGTTGGGCCTCCTCCTGAATGCGTTCCTCTAAGCTCTTCTTTCCTAAACCAAAGTTCCTTAGTGCTGTCAGAGTGAACCGTCTTTGCTCCTTCCATATCTGGCCACTTGACATAATCAATCCTGGGAAAAAGAAAGTCAACATTACAGTATTCTGATTCCATAATGTGAATATCCCGCAAATGATATGGGGATGTGTATCAGATGAAGGACAGGAGATGATCATTAAGGCACTTGAAAACTGCCCAGAGAAATAATCCCAAAGCAATGGATAAAATGGCTAATATTTACTGATTGCTTGCAATGTCAGGCACTTTAATATGTATTTTGTTGTGCATTACATAATTTAGTACTCATAGAAACTCTTTGGGATAGGTACAATTATTACCACTCCTCACCCACTCATTTTGCTCATGAAAAACCTGAGGAACAAGGGATAAAGGATAAAATACACTTTACAAGGTCTCACAGTAAGTAAGCAACTAAACAGGTGTTCAATTTCAGGTCTGCCTGATTCCAAATCCCATGCTTTGATTATTAGTTACATAAGTGAAGTATTTATGTTATGCTAAAGACTAGGAATGCACTAATGGATAAGACAATATCTATACTCTTAAAGAGGCAAAGAAAGGCTTTATAGGAGAGGTCCTATCTAACCCGGACATTAAAAGATGACGTAAGGAATCAAGAGAGCAAGGAGGAGTGAATGTTCCATGCAGAAAGAAGAGTACAAGCAAAGAAAAAAAATTTTGGTGGGCTTAACAAACCATCATTTGTTTTATAACACAGGTAAGGCCACATTCCTTTCAATTTCAATTCCAGAGCACTCCTCAACACCTTTTAATATCTAACTATGGCCTTCTCACTCACTGAATTGGTCTGCCTCGTTGTCATATGCAGGGATACCTTTTGACCTCGTCTTACTTGCAGCTGCAGTAGACGCTTCTTTCTTGAAATACTGCCTTCCAGTGGTGCTCAGGATACCATTGTCTCCAGATTTTCTTCCTAATTCTCTGCCAGCAATTTCCTATGTCTTTTGCTGGTTCATATTCCATTAGATCTTGAAATGGTGGAGTTCTTCAGGAACTTCTTCATCTAAAACTTCTTTTTCTCACCCTATACTCTATTTCTGGTAAATCTTATCAACTCCTAAAATTTTAAATAACATCTATTGATAGTGACCATCTATTTCTGTCCCTGAGCTCCAGAATCTTATATACAACACTGCCTGCTTGACTTTGCTGATTTAAAGGCATTTTGATTTCAGTATATCCATGACTGAACTCACAATTTTCTCCATATGACTTTTCACCCATGCCCAACTAAACCAAATACCTTGTACTAAGTGTTCCTTTTCTCCATCATATACCCATCTGAGTGTCACCTCAACACCTCCTTCTCCCTGCACCTATGTCATCAGGTCTTAAGAGGTATACTTCCTGGATATCTCAAATCCAGGTCTTCCCTGCTGTTATCTTGGTATAACCTACTGTTATTTCCCTACTGTTATTGGACCTCCCTAGCCTGAGCTACCACTGTCTGTAACCTAAAATGCTACAAAAGTCTCTTGCTCCTTTTCTTCTATTCTCTGAATAGCAGCCTAAATAAAACCTAAAAATGTACAGTGTAAGTATAGTTCCCTTCTCTACTTAAAGCCATTCAAGAGCTTCCATTAATGTTAGGATAAAAACTAATATCCTTAACAGGAACTTGCACGAACTATTCCTGGCCAAGCTCAGTAGTTTCATCTCCCTTTAATTATCTCCTTTTAATCCCCATCCTTGTCATATTGGCCACCTTTCATTTCTCAAGTTCCCTGTCCTTTTCATGTCAGGGACTTTTCATATTCTTTTCTGTCTGCCAGATTGTTTCACCGGTTTATTAAATGAATATTTACTTACTTTTTCTGCATCCCAGGACTGCATTAATAAGTACATCCTGCACTCGACTTCAAAACACTGTAGACTTCTAACTATTATAGTTAATTGATACTATTTTTTCTCTCTGCATAGAATATAAACTACATAGGATATGGATTTTATCTATTCTTCTCACTGTTACATCACTCATGCCTAGTACTGTGCTTCACAAGGCAGATAATACAGTGAACGGATATAGAATTAATTGAGGACCTATTTCAAAGAATTGAGAAGCACCTAAAAGTGGTGCTTTGATAGAGTAATAGATTTGAGATTGTCATTTCAATTTTTAAATGTTTCCATATATTTAACGGTAATTTTAAGTGTTCATGCCAATCTGTTCTATCATAGACCAGAAGGCTCAAGATCCTCTGTGTGGCACAACCTTAATGAAAGAGAATAAAGAACTAGAGACAGGAAGAAGCAGCAACAGAATGAGGAAGATCCACATCCATTTTCCTAAGGGGAGAGGGTTGGAAGAGGAAAACAGAGAGAACACGTTCCTCTGCTATAAATGGGTAATGTGGTTACTTCATTAGAAAAGCATCCACAGTAGGTTTGGGCAGGGCATGTGGCTTCTCCCAAATCCCAGTGAGGGATGATCTTATCAAATCTTCTGAGGGAGTGACTTCAGTCAGGAAATGTGAATACCCAGCTTCCTTTAGTGGCAGGAAGTTTACTGTGGGACTGGTTTCTAGGAGTGTTGTAAAATTATAGCCACCAAGGTGCCTTTAGCAGACTATAGGACTATCAACATCAAACACTCACCTTTCATTGGCCAAGAAACTTACCATTTTTCTTAAAGGTACGTTCTCGCATAGGGGTCATGGGGCGGTTCCCAAAGTTTTGGTCCATGTGGATAAGGGCTTCTTTGATTAAGGGCAAGCCAGTAATAAGAACTGCAGATATGTCACCAAGCTCCAAGCTAAAAAGGTTCCCATATTTCTTCACAAACTGAAAAATAGTTAAATAGTAACAGTTGAATATGCACATATCCATGTGTTCAGAGATGGCGGATGTGTGTAGCTGGAGGGGCTCATATTGAGAGAAGTGTGTGTGTGTGTGTGTGTGTGAGAGAGAGAGAGAGAGAGTACATTGATCTCACAGGAATAATTTTATTTCCTTTTCTCCTCCTCTCAACAAGGCTCAGATTCAATTCACTTCAGAATGTGAATGTTTCTTTATAAAATATCTATTTATGTATTCAACCAACATGAATTGAGTGAGCATCTATCATGTGTCCCTAGGGCAAAGGCATGAGGATAAAACTGTAATAAAATAAATAAGTTCTGGCCATGTGGAGTGGCTCACGCCTGTAATCCCAACACTTTGGGGGGCCGAGGTAGGCAGATTGTTTGAGCCCAGGAGTCCGAGACCAGTCTGGGTAACACAGTGAGACCCTGTCTTTACAAAAAAATGAAAAATTAGCTGGGTATGGTTGTACACGCCTGTGGTCCCAGCTACTCAGGAGGCTGAGGTGGGAAGGTCACTTGAGCCTGAGAGGTTGAGCCTGCAGTGAGCCATAATCGTGCCACTGCACTCCATCCTGGGTGACAGAATGAAAACCTGCCTCAATATATAGACGTAGTAAACAAGATTTCTAACCCCAAGCATCCTAGAGTGTAGTGAACAGAGAGAATTCAGCACATCTGCATTCTCTTCTGAACACTAATCATGTCTCAGCCACTTAAGAAGGCTGAGACTTCTTCAGTCTGGACTTCCTAGTAAATCATAACTATCTGTTTAATCAAATGAGAATGCCCCCTTCCTAGACTGGGCATAGATTATAGAAACATATGCTAGATAATAGAAGGTGCATTATAGGGCAGGGGCCAAGCATGGAGGAAAGTCCTCAAGCTCTGGAGTTAGGTGGCAATCTGGGGTGTACAGTTCAATCGTTTTGGGCTCTTGGGGAAGTTGCTTTATTTTTTGAGCCTCAGCTCAGCTCCCCAGCTATAAAAGGGAGAAAATTATTCCTCCCTCTTAAGGTTCTGTGAGGAAGAATGAGAGCAGCAATGTGAAAGGCACTTTGTTTTCTGGTTCCAGGCGCACAGCCACCCGGCGAGTCTCCGAGGAATGAAAGAGCTCTGTGTGCGAAGGGCCGTGGATGCATTCTTACGGTGGCAAAGGGGACAGGAACCCACTGGTGTGTGGGAAGAAGGCACTCATGGTCACAGGCAGCCATTGCTAATCACCTTTCATATTTTATCTCATTAATCTCACAACCACCCTACAGTAGTAATAATTTTTCTCCTCTTTCAAAAGGGAAAACCTGCGTGACAAAGTTTAGTGGGAGTGACAGAGTGAAAGTAAGAATGAGTGAGAGTGAGAGAGTTGGGGTGGGAGAGAGAGAGAGAATGGGGGTGTGTATGTTCCTGAATATGCACAAGCGTGTAAATATCTGCAAATATAGGTTGGAGGACAGTGTACAGTCACGAATCAAAATCCTTCCTAATCTACCTGTTTGACAAAGGGTCCCAGGTAGACCCTGCCTTTTGTCTGCCTGGGTTGTGTGTAGCTGCAGGCAGTGGTAACAATCCAAAGGACTTCATTTCCCTTAGATGTTTGTGGCCTCTTCTCCACAATCCAGATGCTTTTGCACTTACGCTCCACCATGTTCCCCTCAGAGTCCTGTACCCAACAGTCCCCATCTAGGCAAATACAATGGGTTCAGTCCTGAACTCAGTCCTTGTATTCTTTTGGCCCAGAGTCCTCCATCAATCTTTATCTCCTACACAGGATTTCCTGTCTTGCTAGGAAAAGCAGAGCTGAGATTCAATCTCAAGTAAGTTTGCTCCTAAAGTAAGCATCTTTGCTTCTATGAAATGGCAGTAATGGAACCACACACGTTAAGCATTTTTTTAAATGTACACTTGCTGAATTCCTGGATGAACTTCTTAGGCCTGACAAAAAGGATTTCTTGACTAATTTAGAACATTAAATAAGGATGTTTTTGGTAGAGCTGAAAAATATCAGGTTAAGTTAAATGACGTCTAACTAGCAAAGTATACAGCCTAGAATCTCAGCTTGTACTTGGGAGGGATTCAGAACTCCATTACTATTTACTGAAATAAACTTCTTAAGAATTTTATCTCTACCAACTCTCTGCCATTGCATATTTCTAGTTAAACAGAACTAGATCAACAACTTGTATGATATTATCAACTGTTTAAAGATGGAGTAGGAGCCCTGGGATGAGAATGGCGATGTCTTAACAATTCTTACAAGCACCCTGTCAGTCATTTTATCCATTGCTTTAGAAAGATTAAATGACCCAGAGGGCTTCTGAGAAGATTTTATAAGGTAGGGCACACTTTTCAATTGTATATCATTAAATGAACCACGAATAAAAAAAAAAAAACCTCAACAGAATAAAACGAAAGGAGACAAAAATAAGATGCTTTGAAAGGCAAAAACAGTCTTAAAATCAGAAATGAAAATAGAAAAAGAAAAGAAATGAAACAGAATCTTTAAAAGTCAAACAAACAAAAGTAATAAGGGACAGGAAATGTAATGCTAGGAATAAAAATTCCAAATGTAGCATAAGCATTTTAAAAAGTGTGGAACAAAATAAATGTTTACAGTAAAGAGGAAGAAGTAAAGGATTAGTGGGAGAAGAGATTGAACTATTGAACCATGGCTACCAAGAGATATAAAGTTGACAGAGATTCCACTTAATCCACGTTCTTAAATTTAATAACCAACAGAACAAACACATGAAAAGAGGAAAAGAAAAACAGGAAAAGAGTGTATTAATTCACACTCCCGCCAGCAGTAGGTCAGAGGGCCTATTCCTGAGCTGTGCCTCTGTGTGTGTGTGTGTGTGTGTGTGTGTGTGTGCGTGCGCACGCGTGTGTGTGTGTGTGAGAGAGAGAGAGACAGAGAGAGAGAAATCCTAATAGGCACAAAAATGCAAGCTGTTTCTATATTTCTGTAAAGTTTAACATCTTTCCCTCAATCTGGATGTTGTATTTTTAAAGTCATATGTTTATGTCTTTCAAATATTTCCGTATCAAGGTATTCAACTTTTTTTCTCATTGATACATGGAATTTCTAATAAAAAGTTGGAAATATAACTTTATTTTCATTTATATGCAAATCTGGAAAGATATCCACCAAGGTCCTATAGAGGTACTGCTGAGTGTGTGTGTATGTGTGTGTACGTGTGTGTATGCACATGCGCACGTGTGCACGCATTCACAGTGATGGCAGGATAGGCACAAGGACTCTCTCTTGTTAAACTGTATTTTAATATGCTGTCTCACTGTGTATGGATTGTTGCCTTTACAGTTGAAAAGCTTTTTTATCCAATAAAGAAAAAAAATAAACAAGAAAATGGGAAATAAAGCTTTAAAACAGTGGTTCTTTACTTTTTTGAGTTATAGAATCCTTTGAAAATATAATGTATATCATAGACCTGCTCTCCAGTAAACACATACACAGCTATACACATAAACAGCTTTGCATGCAGTTTCAGGAGTTACCAGTCCTCTGGGGCCCATGAACTCCTTCTAAGAATAATGGTTTCCCAGGTAGTTCTTGGGGCTGTGCTGGTTTCTGAGAACAGGCTGTGGAGATCAAATTCATGTTCAATTTAACAGGCTTTTATGAGATGCTTAAGAGTTGCCAGGCACCTTCTGGCACTGGTGTATTATAAATGGAGGTAATACAAAGATCAACATGATATGATGTTTTCCTAAAGTGTCAAAGTCTCTTGCGAGAGACTGTGCAGAAAAAAATTGGAATGCGCAGCAGATGACATGTGTTATTATGCTGATAGAGAGGGACATAAAGCTATCACAAGAAGAGATGACTTTCCACCACGGATATAAGAAAAATATCTTTTTAAAGAGTAGATGGTATCTGAGCCAGATTTTTAATGAAGGTCAGGATGTCACCAAAAAACAAACAGACAAAAACCAACAACCCCCAAACCACAACAATAATAAAAAAACACATGGTAAGAAATTAAAGGCATTCTAGGTTGTGGGAACATCATATACAGATGTAAAGGGGAAATGCAGAAGGTGTTTGGGAGCAAGAGAGCTACCTTGTCTGACTGAAGGATAGGGTTCATTATTTAAAGAGCACTGACCATGTGCCAGGTCAAGACCAGGTGCTGGGGAGTGCAACAAGTCCTTCACTTCAAGAAGCTAACAATCTAATGGAGCATATAGATAAATAATCACTTCTCATTATTATCTATTATCATTCTTTACAATAAAACATTTGATGGGAGGAAGTTAAGAACCACATAAGAGGACCAGGGTTGAGGCAGGCTTCTGGGAAAAGCATCTTCTCAGTCGGTAAGGGAGATGGGAGACAAGGCTGACAAGGTAATCTGAGCTGGGCTGAGGAGAGTCTTAACATCATGTATAATATTTTGGATCTTGTTTGGTTTTCAATCAGAATTCTAAGATGTTTAAGTAGGAGAGGTGATGCAAGGGAGTGCTTAAGAGTTGGGATTTTGAAGTTATACAAACTTGTTTGAATCCAGGTTCTGCTTCTTAGTTTCTGTGTGATTTGGGAGAAAGTTATTTAACTTTTCTCTGTCTTAGTTTCCAAGTCTATAAAATGGGGGATGTTATTAGTTCCCATGTTTAGTATTGTTGTGATAAGTAATCACGATACTAAAATTAATAATAAAATTATTATGGCTCAGACCATTTTCCCCTATTAAAAATCTTCTGTCCCTTTACTCCATTTAGCCACTTGCCAAAAATCAAAATTTTCCTTAAAATTCAGCCCAATTTCTTCCAACATTCTACAAAAGGTTATCCCCAGGGTTTCCATTTAGTGATCCAATCTCCTTATATCCCATTTGGTTGCCAAGTGTGTACACTATACATTTAGTCATATACAGCCTTGTACTTTGCCTGGCATATGATAAGCACTTAATAAATGTCTGTTGAATGAATAAACATGTGAGTAAACCAATTGTCCTCTAACTATGT